TTAACGTGTATTCTAGGTTTTTATGAGAATTATAATTCATCCCACCAAAATAACGCCTAATTATAGGGGTTCCGTTCTTCACAAATTTTTATTCCATCTTTTTATATATTAAAGAAAAAGCACTGGGAGGACAATTTGGCTGATGTGTCAACGCTATGATTTTTTTAACTTTTTAAAATAATTTAAATTCTATAATAATTCTTACTATCCTACTAGCCAAACACTCTTTATGACTACTATCCTATTAACCAAACACTCTCATAATACAGTCTCTATTGCCAAACATAATTAATTTCATTAAGTTTAAATCTAAAAATGTTAATTAATATATTATCTAATTAGCAAACACATTTAAGATTAAAATCATTATAATCTCAATTGCCAAACACATTAGAATATTTATAAATGTGCCTAAATTAGTTATTCAAATATTGTAATATTAATCCTTACCATTAAATTATTAAAAAATATTACTATTCTTATAATTACCCTAAATAGGATTCAATTTATATTTGCAATATTCTATTTTATATATTTGAATCATGAACCATATTTCGAAGATTATGACATTAAACAAATATATTTTATTAATAAGTGATATAAAATGACTAAAAAGATATCTTTAAAAAAAAATCACGGGTGTAACGCATTTCTATACAAAATAATTGTAAAATTTATAGATATAAAATAAATTTAGATTTCTATTAGGATAGCACCTAAAACTATTTATGAAAAATTAATTAAATCCAAATTTATATTTTAAAAACTACATTATCACTCTTATAATTACACTAAACCTATAAGATTCAATTCGTATTTGTGATCTTTTATTTTATATATTTGAATCATAAACCGTATTTTTAAAGATTAAGATGAAATAAATACATTTATTAATAAGTGATATATATTGACGAAAAAACTAAAAATTTGTTGTTTTCAATTATTTCACGAGTGTTATACATTTATATACAAAGTTTATATGTATAAACGAATTATGGATTTCGTATAATAATTTTTCTAATAACTATATATTATTTTTTAAAGTAAAGCTACATTGATTTTACTTGCATATTATATCATCCCGCGCGGGTAACTATCTAGTTTCTATTAAATTCATTCTAATTGACAATATCATGAAGGGAATGGTAAAATTGAATAACACTACCATTTAATGGAATAGAAAAATCAATCATTTGAATAACACTAGAACTTTGTGGAATTTGAAAGAATGTCTGCAAATACATAATCTAATAACACATGAATTTAAAAGAATTCAAAGAATACATAATTAAATAACATTATAATTCTATGGAATTTTAAATTCACCTAAATTCTGTAATTGAATACCCCCACCACATCTCTTACACTTACTCAAACAAATTCTATTATTTATGATTAACATTACAAATCTTATCCATGAACAAAAATCTAATATTAATAACTGATATATAAAAAACAAATGTATATAATTGATTCGAAATTTTTCGATTTTTAGTAATTTTTTTTAAAGATACAGCTTTGCTTGGGAATATGATATAATTATTATATAGCAAATAGAAAAATATAAATTTTATAAAATTATCAAAATAATATAATATTATAATGAAACTGATTTAGATATCGTGAAATTGTTTTGATTCTAATTTAAATGTATGATACATTGGTTTGACAATCACCAAAATGAACCAAGTAAGAAAATTGTAACATATGTTCACTCCCCGCGTTATACGTGAAATAATATATTAAAAAATAAATTCCAATAAATTTTGTATTATGCTTAAATGGTATCATTTTGTATTGATTTTTACATACACTTCCACTATGTTATATTAAAGTATTTAATCCGTTTTGTAATTATCCATGTTATATTTCAAATCTTATAAATGCGCGAATTTCCAAACCAAATTAGTTTCTATTTTTTACTCAGTTTCTATTTTAAATATTCTTTATCCCATACTTCCTTGAAGAAGAAAAAGAAAAAAAAATTTCCACTATAGTACAAGATGATCAATACAATTTCTCATCCGATAGACCTATTTTAATTTTCATAGCAAGTGTATGATTTACTATAAATTAATATTTATTATTTTCTAATAATCGAATACATATGGATGTTTGTCTCCATTTTTTACAATTTTTTGTTGCTAAACCGATAATATAGGTTTTAAAAAATAATATACCATAAATAACTATATTAACAATAATGTAATTATGATTAGAAAAATCAACACAATTAGAAGAAAACAAAATTATGGGACAATTGC